AGTTTAGAAAGAACAGGATACAAAAGACTCTGATAAAGAACAACATCAAGTTTCTTAGAAATATTCAACCGGAATGGAAGAGATTTGCTTCTCAGATTAATCAGCAGGTTTTTATCAGAAATGGACATTCATGTTGTTTATGAGGCATTTTTGCAGAATGAGGAAGAAGTATTAGGGAAAATGGAAGGCAAGAAGAAGAGCGAGAAATCTTTGGTGGATCCCCTAGCTCTTGTTGTTGCTGAAAAGGGCCAGAGGTATGCTTCCAGAAGTTTGAAAATAGAGAAAGAAGATAGTGAAGAGTCTAACACTAACAAAGAGGATAGTGGTTCTGACTCCGACTTGAACGACATCAAACAAGATATATTCCTTTTGACAAAGACTTTCCAAAAAAAATTCTACAAGAAGCCTTTGTCCAACAAGCTGAGGACTTCGTCAAGTTCAAGGAAACCCGATTCGAGTTCAAGGAAACCCGATTCGAGTTCAAGGAAACTTGAGTACAAGAAGAGGACAGTTAACTGAAATGGAGGAACCTCAGAAGTGCTATAACTATGAAAGGATCGGACATTATGCTAATGATTGTCAGGGACTCCAACTACTAAAAGAACAAGATGCTCCTGGCCAAGGAGAAAGAAGCATGAAAAGCACTGATGGCTGAAGATGATCATTGACTGCAAATTTCAGAGAGCGATGATGATGACGAAGCAAACGGGCACATCTTCTTCATATCCAATGACTCTGACGCTTAGAGTTCCGATGATGATATGTTGGATCTTGCAACTCCGATTCTTCCGAGGTACTATCTATGTCTCTATTCGAAGAAAAGCTTATGGACTTAATGAACAAAATAACTGTTTTTAAAGGCAAGCTCCAAAAAGAAAAGAAACTGAGTGCCTCTTGAGAAACCAAGTGCAAACAAAATCATGAGCTAATAGTCACTCTCTTATGTGAAGAAGCTCAAAAACTTCAATTAATTAAATCTTTAAAAGAAAAAAAATGAGAGATTTCTTAACAATAAAGACAATGTTTCCTAAGACCCTATATGAACATATATCTGAGTTATCAGATAAGTTGATTCTCTCGAAGAGAGAGACAAATGAGTATGCATTAATGTATGAAAAGGTATGTTATGAAAATTCTAATTTGATTTCTAAACTTCAGAATCTTGAAGAAAGCTTTGAGAAAAGAGTCAAACAGATCAAACAATTTTAATGAACAAACCAAAGGAATTCTTATTTTATCAACCCAAAGCTGGTTTGTGGTTTGAAAACCCGAGCTACTTGGAAAAGGCAGTTTCACAAGTTCCTACGTTGTGTAGTTATCTTTACATGAAACTGGATCCTAAATATCGAATGAAGTTCACTCCATCATCTTCTGAAGTTGAGGCAAGAGAAGATGCCAACAGGAAAAGTTTGGACAAAATGCAACTTTCTTTCGTGTATGCTAGACTGAGCGAGTCATATCCATATGTCAGACAACTTCTGTCAGATGACTACTTTAGAAGTTACACTAAGGAAGAACTTTCCCAAAATGAACCAAAACATACATAAAATGATATTGAACCAGAAATGTATGTTCCACCTTTTCTTGAAGAAAAGATTTTCGAAATGACAAGAGTTTTTGAAGAAGAACATGATCAATGCTTTTAAAGATTAAAGATCTTGAACCGTATGTTTCAAAGACTTCTAATGGAAAACAAGTTCAAGACTCTCAAAATGTCCCTTCTTCTTCAGATTCAGATAAATCTTACAAAGCTTTTGTGGGAAATACATTTCAACAGCCTAATCTTGATATGCCATCTATTTCTGGCTCAACCTATTTTGATAATAGAGTGAACACATTTGATGAAATGAATTTTTCTCCTTATATGAATTCCAATGAGTGTGCAAACGAAGAGATTGATAAGTGTGACTTCACTGTTAAAGAAAAGATTTATGTTGACATAAAGAAATTAAAAGGAAAAGAAAAGGAAGTTCCAGTTCCATTGTATAAAGGAAAAAGATCTAAATTTGTTCCTGAGAATATCTACTATTTTAAAGGAAAATCTAAAAGGAATTACCAGAAACTGAAAAGAACTAGAAAACCTCCTATCAAACATATTTATAAGTCTAAATCTTCCGATTCTAGCTTTTCTGATGTCTCAGATTCTGGTCGTAAAAGAAAATATGGGAAACAAGTTTGGAGGGTGAAGAAATCTCCGGAAGAAAAAGAGAGAAAAATCATTTAATTCTGTTCCCATTGTTAGAAAGAACAATTTAAATTATGTAGACGATTGTAATGCTTTTGATCAAAACATTTAATTTTTGCAAAAAATTTATTCAGTGAAACATTTAATCGATTTGTCACGTAACAAGATTTGTTGTTCTACATGTGATTGAATGATTTTATTGACAATAATTATGCTTGTGATTGATTTGGCACATATCATGTTTCAAATTATAAAAAACCTAAACTAATAGTGTGGAAACCTAAACAAAAAACGACCCCTAAGCCTAACAAGGAATGACCCATCTTTAAATGGGTACCTAAATCCACTTAATTTGTTTTGCAGAACGGTCATGTGTGGTATCTTGACTCAGACTATTCAAAGCACATGATCGAGAGAAAAGAGATACTATCAAATTTTATGGAGAAGTATGGAGGGACGATACGGTTTGGAAATGATCAATTCTCACCAATCATGGCTACGGAGACATCGTGCAAGGAAATTTTACTATCAAGAAGGTGTCTTACGTAAAAGGTCTTGAACACAACCTCTTCAGCATTGGTCAATTTTGTGACAAGAACCTTGAGGTTCACTGTAAGGCCAATCGTTGCAATATCCGAATGGCAGAAAGAGTTGAACTATTAGCTGGCAAAAGATGATCAAATCTTTACACGATTGATCTGTCTAACATCAAAGTCAACTCTGATGTTTGTCTTCTGTCCAAAGCCTCTAAGCAACAAAACTTCTTATGGCACAGATGACTCTACCATTTAAACTTTGCAAATCTCAACAAGTTGGTGACAGGAGGGTTGGTAAAATGCTTAGCAGAGTTGAAGTCTCAGAAAGAATACTTATGTGCCGCTTGCGAGATGGGTAAGATGAAAAGAGCTTCTCACAAGTCTGTTACAGAGCACAAAACTTCAAGATCGTTGCAGCTGATTCATATGAATCTTTGTGGTCCTATGAGGATGTAAAGCATCAAATGGAAGAAGTACGTGCTGGTGATGGTGAACGATTCTTCACGGTACACTTGGGTCAGGTTCTTGAGAACCAAGGATGAAGCCCCTTAGCTCATCATCTTGTTCATCAAAAGTGTACAAGTGAACCTATAGTTGAGCGTGCAATCGATCCGAACTGACAACGGTTTAGAATTCAAGAACAGTACACTGGACAACTATCTAGAGTCTGTTGGGATTTCTCATACATTGTCAGCCCCCCGAACTCCATAGAAAAATGGAGTGGTAGAGAGTAGGAATCATACTTTGGTAGAAGCGGCGCGCACCGTGCTCGTCTACTCAAAACTACCACTGTACCTCTAGGCAGAAGCGATCGACACTGCCTGTTTCACGCATAATCGGTCCATCGTTAACAAATGGTTTGGTAAAACTCCCAACACTATCATAACGGGTTGGATATCCAGGTTACTAAAAAACGAACAAAAAGGATAATATGGACTTGAAAATTATTCAATTGTAAATCATTAAACCTTGATTCTACTTCTTGAAACCATATTGTAACAACACCCTTTATCTATTTGTCTATCTTCAACTCATAAAATATATTACTAAATAAATATTAATTGTTGTCTACAAATTTATCAGTTTTTATGATTATCGTTTTTCTTTTTAAATTCAGTCTCTAATTTTCTTTTGGTAAAATAATGGCTTAACTAACTAAGCTTTCCGACTCTTTTTCACAGTTGGGTGTCTTGTCGTAAGTAACATATTAACCTCTTAAGATATAGAATAATCTACGTACATTCTACCTCCAAACCTTACTTTCAAACGGAATATATATATACTTGGTTTATTTAGTTCATTTTGGTCTTATTTTAATTAAGTTAAATCGATATTGTTTAGACTATACACTTATTGCTCGATCTTTATTCTCTACTTTATTTCCGATTATTTTTAGGGTTTACTTTTTTGCATGGTGGGAAACGATTCCTTGCGTTGCACGACTTTGATTTATAATAACTATAAAGAAAAGTGCGATTGATCGAACAATATTTGATAACTAATTCAGATATTGCAAATTTAATCCATAAGTTGAAAGTATAATTAGTTAAAAAGTAAATTTTATATAAAACAAAATTAGTTTTTTTAGAGGAAAAAGTTATTCTTTATTCCCAAAAAAGATTACAATTTTTCACATATTTTGGATTAATAAAATCAATTCTTTATTAAATTTAAATCTAAATTCAAATTAACCATTAATGCTCATCATAAAATATAGTTGGTTCAAAAAAGTTATACCATAAGGGTTCAAGTCACCTGTTACATATATTAATTTCTAATTTCTTGCTTACAACAAAAAATATGTATTCGGGATATCTGTAAAAAAGGTGTTCGTCTAGGGATATCTGTAAGAACGAATTTGGACCCTTGATCACTATTAAAATTAAAACTCACCCATGAATCACGTTTGATACAGGGATTGATATGATGCATCTGATTCTAATGTGCATCCAAGGATGAAGATCTCTTCTTACACTTCTCACGTTAACTTTCCTTCTCACCAAAACCCAACCCTTCTCATCGATAGGTACAATTATCATATAGACTCGGTTTATTTTCGCCCACTCATTGATTATATCATACAAGGAGCCGAACCATGCATTTATGCAACACGAATGGTTCCGTTTACTTGTATACATGTGATACCGCAAAGAAAGAAAGAAAAAAAGAAAGAAAAATAGGTACTTATAATCACACAAAAACATAAAATTACATTATGAAAACACCATACGCGATTATACACAGATAATTGAAACCCTAAAAATCAAAATTTAACAAGCAAGAACATATATACGAATGATCAGAACATATATACGAATGATCAGATCATATCACAAACAAAAGATCAAGCCAGACAACCATCCATGAAGATCATGATACGATCATTATTGGAGTCTAACATCGGCTAGACATAAATCATCAAACTTATATATAAATGTAAAAACCTCCCAACGTCTCTTTAAGGCTCTTTTAAAGTGAGATTTAAAAGGGTTTTACATATCCTAACGATCAGTTGATTACGACGTATCTCTTACTTCAAAGACATTGCGAGTCTTGACAACGATATCATACATGTGCATGGTCTTGAGTTTGTTGAAGTGTTTGGGGAGAGATATGAGGTGAGTGGTGGATCTTTTATGAAACTGAAGAAGGTCTGGGTCGTTGTGGTATCTTTCCCAGCCGATGGAGGTCAACATTGGTTCAAGAACCTCATAGGAAGTGACCACTTGGTTCGTGGGTAGGTGCACCAGCACCTTGCGACGAGATGCACCTTGCGAGGAGTCAGCTCCACCTGGGTTCTCCACGAGTCTAACCACACCATTTTTGAACACCCAAACACCAGACATGGTTCTCTCTTTCGATCGATGTTATGGAAATAAAGAATATATACGAATGTTAAAGATAATATATTAAGGTATTGTACCATGATGGAGGTTTATATAGGGGGTAGGATGGGTGGGTTGGTGACGTTGGTAGAGGTATATATTCTGGTAATAGAGTAAAGGGTAATTAATATATATCTAGTTCTTATGCAATAACCAAAAAGAGGTTGAAAAGCAGGATAATCGATCTCAACCAGCATCATTAGGTTTATATTCAATTGTTATGATTATTTACCCATTTTTAAGTCAAGAAGGCAAAATTGTAAATTTTGATTTTAGTAGAGTTTAACGGTTTTCGACTCCGTATGTTATTTCACCTCATGAAATAAAACACAATTTTTATATATATGTTATTTCACTTCATGGAATCCAAACATAATTTTCATATGTGTGTGTATGTATGTATGTATATATAGAGAGTTGGGTTCATGTGTGACCAACATGTTTTCGTGAAACCCGTGATAACACTTTTTTTACACTTGGAAAAAAGCCGAACCTTCACAACAAAAATACTGTGAAGATTACCTTCACAGCGTTTTCCTGTGAAGTTTCAAATGTAAAAAAGTGGTCTCGTGAAAAAAGGTTGGTCTCACGTGATCCCAAGTCTATGTATATATATATATATATAAGAGTGTGTGTGTGTAACACACACACACACACACACATATATATATATATATGTATATGTATATGTATATGTATGTTATTTCACCACATTAAATGCTTGAAGAAGATAAGGGCATGGAGATTGACCTAGCTCATCGACCTTCTAGTAAAGCTAAGCAACTAGCACTTTAAAGAAATTGATAGTTAGTCGTCCGAAAGCATTCAAAATGTATGGACTTTGGAGTTAGGTTGTATTATTTCCGTCCTTACTGCTAAGGCTAGCTAGTTGCCCACCTCCTAACAAATCTTGTCTTCATCTGCTGCCCCGAGAGAGTGAGTTTGTATGCCTATTGGGTCTTTTCCTGGCTCTCTTACTAGGAAAATTATCAAGTCGATGCTCATATAACTGCATTTTGATACTTTCACTTTTCCCTTCGATGAGTCGATCGTTACTTGCAAAAGTGATATCTTATATAACTGCATTTTGATACTCTCACTTTTCCTATCGATGAGCTGATCTTTAATTGCAAAGTGATAGCTTATATAACTGCATTTTGATACTTTTTTGAAGACAAGAAAGAGTTAGCCTTAAATGTCCCTATTCAATAGGCTTTCTTTCTCCCTGTTGTTGGTCAACAACCAAATCTAGCTAGCAAGCAAGGTCATTAATACGCTAAAAGAAGGCAATTTAAGGCCCAATATTTCCCCCTATTTTTCCTAAAGAGAAATATSCTTATAGAAAGTTTTAGGGCTTGAGTCAAGCATTAGTCTAGAGACAACCGCTACTCTATCATTACTAGACTAAATATAGGGCCATAAGGGCTAAAGTCATGATAGAAAAGAAAGGGAGACTGAAAGATTTTTGTGAACGGTTAGTTGGTCACTAGATGATAGCATCCCTACTAAATTAGAGGAAGTGAAAACATACAGAGAAGGATAGGACGGAGACTCGACCTTTAGGGAGAGAAAATCCTTTTTTTCTCAATCTCTTCTAGTTATTAGTACCTACTAGATGAATTACTTTCCTTAAAGGCCTACCTTCCTTGGCACATAGATTAGCATTAGGGGTGAGCATAGGCGGGTACACGCCCTATTTTACAGGAACCGAAACCGGCGGTTCTTGAGATATTGGAACCGGAATCAGTTAGAGCGGTTCTTGAATTTTTGAAACCGAAACCTCCAGGAACCGGTTCCGGTTGCGGGTACCCGCTTCCTGAAATATTAAAATTTTGTTATTTAGAAATAAAAAATAAAACGTTGTCAGAACATTAATAAATAAACAAGAATACAAATTATACGGAATAATGGTTACAAATATTGTTTAACGATTACAAACCATAACAAACTAATAGTAAATGTTGAAAGTTTAACGATTACATTCTATAACTGTAAAGGTTCAAAGTTTAACGATTAGATACTACGATTCCAATTAAACACACAATTTGAAAAAATACGAATCATTTTATCTCAAATTTTGAATCTAAAGTTCTAAGTTCTTGACCTAATTTAATCTAGTATTAAAAAAATTAATTATTATTTTTAATTGAGAAATACCGGGTACCCGCCAGTTTCGGGTACCCAGTCCCGGAACCGGTCCCAGCGGGTAACGGTTCCGAAAAATTGAAAACCGGAACCACTCATATCGGTTCTGGTTCCAGAACCGGCAGTTCCAAGGCAGTTTCGGTTTCGCAAGTGGGTACCCGGTTCCGTTGCTCACCCCTAATTAGCATTATTCCCCTTACCTTAGATGCGGAAAGCATGTCAGACTATAGAGTGTGCTTCCTACAATCGAGGGCGAGTCACCTTCATGCGGGCATACCTAGCTACCATGGAAGACAAACCTTCCCCCATTCTCCATTTGAAGGGCGCTGACTTTAATTATCAGGGTATTTTCCAGGGGTGAAAGGTGCATGTGGGGTTTTGGTACGCGACTTAAAGCAAGTATTTCAAGCATTTCTTGATGAATAGCTAGATGGTCTCCRCCGTCTAGGATCTATAGATAGAGACCACGAGGGGAGAAGAACATCATCAAGTTCCCTTTTTCCAGGATTTTGGCTACCTATATGCGAAAGAATTATACTTTTCTCGGCTGACAATTCATAGGCGAACGATGATCCATATGAATCACACCTTTGTTGATCCAATGGCCAAGAAATAACACTTTAGTCTGAGTACCCTTTCATGTACAACCTCTTTTCCTGCTACACTATACTCAGGGCTCCAAACCTCAAGTGGGTGACTATAAACGATTATGTCATCAAGGTTTTCCTAGTCAAGGTAAGGCTTTGAGTTATACATTTAAGTGTGGAACACGACCTGAATTAAGATGATATTCATATATCAAGTACTCTTTATGTACGTTATGGAGAGTCTCCACTTCATGTTGAAAGCTCTTTCAAATAGCATGAGCATTGAAATTCTTCAATTAAAATAGAGCATTAGATTCTTTTTTTTCAACTTCTTTCAAAGGGGAATGAATGGAATGAAGAAAAGAAGAGAGGAGGAAAGCGGTTCATTGGAGTTTGTCTCTTGAAAATGGTATTATCTTAAAGGTCTTTTAGATGATTTGACCAAGCTTTCAAAGAACATTTTCCAAAAATGTCGCACACTCGGTATAATTATGAAATTTTCGTTTCTCTTGGGATTGGAAAATGAAAGGAATTTCATGTACCCAAATGAGAGGAGTTATTGGATTGACTAGGTCTTGTTGGAAAGTTTTTATTTTTAGTCCCAAGGGGCGGTCTAGTTACTTGTATTAGGGATTCCAAGTTTGTGGACGATAATGGTTTTATTCAGATTATTGAAACCGGTTCTGCAGAATAGTTGTTTTTGATAAGAGCTTGGTTACATTTTTTTGTTCAAATATGCATATCTTTACACCTACTTTTTGACCCAAGATCTTACCTTAATCACCGGAAAACCCTTTTTTTTATTTCAAGCTCAGTGGTAGAACGGTCTTTTGGTAACTGACTAGTCGGTTGAAGGTTCAAATCCTACTTGAAAAGCTTCCCTGGACTTTTTTGACTCTCTGCTTACTCCAGCCGTAAGTAAACTTGTAGAATGGGATGTCATCCATTGACTACTAATTGCGAGAAGAGAATTTCCTTCCTAAGTCATTGAAAAAGAGGAGGCCTAGCTATGAAAAGGCTCCACGGATTACTGGGGCTTAAGGAAAAAAGAAAAGGAAGATATTAGAATGTAAATGAAACAAATGCTTCACTCTCTCAGCTACGGACTGGATGATCCCCCTCGATTCTTTCTAGTGGCTTTTCCCGTCCCTTTTGGGACCATTCACCCTTTTCCCAACCAAGCATAAGTAGAATCCCTCTTTCCCATACACAACGATGGTTCCAAGCAAGATGAATAGTTTATAGTCGACTCAACATCGACGAAATTCCCGATTTAATATCTTTACTACTGATTCTCTTATAGTGCACTCTTCACCGAAATCGAAAGAGTAAGCAGTTGAAAGACCCACCTATGAATAAAGCCTTTAGGTTGGGAGATCTCAAAGGGGGACCTCGCTTAGCTTATCAGTCCCTGTATTATTCAACTCATCTGTCCACTTATCTTGTCCAAAGCAAAAGGAATTTTACAATCCTTTGTTTCAAAGGTAATCCTCCAGTCTCTAGACTTGAAAAGTTTCAATAAACTTGTTGGCCTGCTCCTACATCCTGTAGCTTCTGAGGCATTAGTTTCCCCGAAAATAAACTTTAGTTTCATAACTTAACCTGAAAGTGTTGCTATGATCGTTGCACATGTTTTCTCCATAGCTGTGAATTTCTTTTATGTATTATTATCATTGATCAACTTAGCTAAATTAAATTAGTCCAAATCTCTCCTCTTCTCATCATCATCATCATCATCATGTAGTGCTAGCACCATTCCAACAGAATCCTAAGTTGTAGACATATAGAGGAGGACGACCTAAGTTATTAGAGTAGAGTTACTATAAAGACACAATTTCCACCTATTGGTTGTAGTTTTAGCTTGTATGTGTGAAGAAGAAAAAAATGAGATATTTGTTTTCATAGAATAACTCTTTCTATTGGGAAATAGAGAGATGAATCACTAGTTGAATCTTCTATTACGGTATCAGTTGGTAAGTGGAACCTTTTTATTGATTCTCGAATCTGTTCATCCAGGAGCTATTCTAAATTCTATCAAAGGAGCTACATAAAGCATTTAGACAGATGAAAGTACTTCAACTAGTGAAAGGGGAATGGCTACTTTAGATGAAAATCATTATTCTGCTTTACGGATCTATTCAATTTTAATTCAAGTTTCATGACTATCTCGAGATTGAATTCCAATCTCAGGGAGGAGCATTCCTTTTCTCAAGTGGGAAAGGCGCTTTGATAGTAA